GCCCCATGTTCAGTTTCATTAAAGACAACGAGAGCTTTCTCTATAACCAAACAAATATACACACCAGTGAAACCAAACTTCTCCTATAGGTAGGGCAAAGCCCGCTTTTGGTGTAGGTCAAGATTTCTGGAAACCACCGAAATGTGGGTTACCCCCTAGTCCTTAAAAGCGACCAAGTGTACTGAAGAATCGAGAATTCCTAAAGATTTCGTTTGACCACTACACGACTACCGACCTGAGCGACGGCGTACACGTGAGGGAAGTGAGCCTGGGCCTGGACGTTGAGCACGACAAAAGCGTGTCGCTCACGGTCAAGCTGACCGCTGGTGGTGATCTTGCCCGTGCTAGAGTTCACCTGGAACCAACTCTCTGTCTGGAACGTGATGCTGTAGCTGATTTCTGCACACGGGAGACAAGAAACGGCAAATTAATCCATTGGAGAAGCGTGCAAATACTGATTATATATCTAACCTTACCGTTACAATGTGAACAATATCATGTGTATTATGTGTGTGGTTGTGAGCCTGTCTGTGACAATAAGCATACTAGGCCTATTGTATCATTACATTATGTGCACAGATGTGTGTGGAGGTGAGCCTGTCTGTAACAGTAAGCATACTAGGCCTATTGTATCATTACGTTATGTGCACAGATGTGTGGGGATTTGAGGATGTGTGAAAGAGTGTGTGTGTGTGTGTGTGTGTGTGTGTGTGTGTGTGTGTGTGTGTGTGTGTGTGTGTGTGTGTGCATGTACGAGTGTGAGAGTATGTGTTTGTGTGTATTTGAGTGTGTTTGCATGGGTTGAAACACCAAACCAATGTGCAAGGATCTGGACAATAAAGATGATCTGATCAAGGCTTAAAGACGTGCCGTTTAGTGGCCCTTTAAAAAGGAAACGTAACTTCCATATATTCATACAGATATTTCAGTTGTGTTTTCTTGCTCACAAATTTTTTAAAAAGGCAATAACATGAACTCTACAATTTATTTGTGCATCTGATTTGCATATGATGGTTTAAAAAGTATCCCAAAAATTGATCTAGATCTACTGCTGATCAGACATGTGTCCACTTCGTTCTTAAAGGAAAACTGGTTAATTTGCTCTGAGTTTTAACCTTAATGAGTAGATTGCAAAAAATAAATAAATAAATAAATAAATAAATAAATAAATACATTTTAAATGTATTCAATCAATCAATCAATCAATCAACAAAACAATCGATCAATCAACCAATCAATCAATCAATCAACCAATCAATCCCCAGCTGTGGTACGTACCCGAGTTCCCGCCCGTGTCGTCCAGAGTTGCCTGCACTTGGCCCACCACTCTCCCTGGCAACGCGTCCTCAGCCACGCTAAAGTTGAACATGGTGGGTGAGAAGACAGGGGGGTGAACGGCCCCGCTGATCACACTCACCGTCACCTGGGCGGGGTCAGGGGAGGTCAAACCACCACCGTCCGTGGCCAGCACGTGCAGCCGGAACACTCGCTCACCAGGGGGGAGCTGTTGGTCTAGAGAGACTGCGCCTGTGTGTGAGTAAGTGGGGGAATGTATTAGTCAACAGTAGCAACAGCAATAACAACAACAACAACAACAACAACAACAACAACAATAGCCAGAACACTCGTTCACCAGGGGGGGAGCTGTTGGTCTAGAGAGACTGCGCCTGTGTGTGGGTGAGTGGGGGAATGTATTAGTCAACGGCAACAACAGCAACAGCAACAACAACAACAGTCGGACCACTCGCTTATATGACGTATTTGTGTTGCAAGAGCCATAAACATCCTACTCAAGCTCTCGTCCCAGGTTGGCCCTGACATTAGAGCCAGAAGCCCACCTCCTCATCATCATCCAGTGCCAGATCTGCGACAGACATCGGCGATCATGGTTCTCCATTCATTCATTTCCTCGGATGCTCTAAAAAAAAAGAAGCTATGTTTCCCTAATCTGTCCCCGTTACCCATTCCTTTAGGTTTCCTATCTATGTTGTTCTGGGCCTACCCTTGCCTCGCTTGCCCTCAATTTGGCCAGTGAGAGCTAGATGTTCAAGACCTTTATGTCTATTTATGTGTCCCAAAAACTGCATTTGTCGTTTCCTGATTGTTTTTAACAGTGAGCGTCCCACGTGGGCTTCATCAAGCACTACTTCATTAGAGATTTCTTTTCCTTCCACGGTACTCTTAGCAGTTTCCTAAGAAACCACATTTCTGTTGCTTCTATTTTATTTTCACTGTCTTTAGTGATTGTCCAGCATTCACAGCCATATAGAAGGGTTGACCAAACATAGCATTTCAGAACTTTCTTTTTGGCGTTCATTGAGATGTTTCTATTTTTCAGAATTGGGCTCATTTTATTGAAACTAGCCTTAGCCATTGTAATTCTCCGTTTTATTTCTGTGGAACATTTGGCATCAGATGTTATCGTATATCCTAGACATTTAAACTGTTGGACGTGTTGAATGTAAAGAAAACAAAATGCATGGTAATATTTAAAAAAGCAGCAAATCCTAGTTGTAATCTCATTAGCAAAGGTGAAAAGATCAAACAAGTCCAACAGTTTAAATATCTAGGATTTATCTAAATCATCTAAATAACGTCGATTGGGGTGTAAAAAACCCCCAAAAACCAACAACCTCAAAACCTGTTTAAGAATCTCCTTACCTGTGTCAGCGTTGACGGAGAAGAAGCCCTGGTCATTGCCGTAGATGATGCTGTAGGTGGCCGTGCCGAAGTGACCACTGTCCAGATCCCGGGCCTGGACGGTGATGAGAGGGCCCGGGGCCACGCCCGACACCACGTTGATCGGGTAGCGGTTGGGTTCGAACCTCGGGTGGTTGTCGTTCACGTCCTTGACCTCTACCTGCACCACCGCCTGGCTCGTCAGGTTGCCTGATGGAGAGACACAATCAGGTGGGTCAGGAAATAGTGACATGAAAAATTATGAAAAAATAAAACCAAAACCCCCATCCCCGTAAAAAGTCAGTAATATTTTTTTTTTACATTAACTCAAAAATAGCAAAGAACACACACAAACACTTACAAGCATACAAACACACACACACACTCACACACACAAACACACACACACACACTCACACACACAAACACACACACACATACACACACACACACAT